CACAAAGAAGCTGGCAGCCGGGTAAGAATGCGCAGGAGGAAGTGGAGAAAGTGATTGAGAGGAGAAAGTTTTTCTTGGCTCCTAGGACTCTAAGACATATTTAATAAAATTCCTGAAAAGTATGACTTTCTGAATAATACCTGCCAGAAGAGGAAAAAAGCGGCTGTTTGAAGGTGCTGAAAGGATAGCTTTCCCTCTTTTCCTACGGAATAAATAACTGGATATTAAGAAACCTATTTTTTTAGGTGGAAATTGGTTTTAAGCGATGAGTGGGAAGAGAGAGGATTAAAAAGAAAATATTTGTATGCTAAGATTTGTTGGAGCAGATGCCTTAAGGATTTGAAGACTAGAATATATTGTAACAAGACTTTAAACAGATTTGGACTTTCTTTCTCTTTGATTGATATCACCCCAGAAGGAGAAAGTGAGAACTCTGCCTTGGTTTGGACTGATTGATAACTTTGGGACTGTTTTATCTTTTTTATTTTCTTTTGAATATTCTGGTTGTTGTAAGAAGAAAGAAGGAGAAAAGAAAAGAAAAGATTTATAATGGCTCTTTCTGTTGAGGAACTAAGAAATGGTGTGGAAGAAGCTTTCCTTTTCTTAGAAATGGCGCTTACTAATTATCAACAAAAATTACAACAGATGAAGACAGCAGAGGAACAAGAAAGAAAGGAAGGAGCCATCTTTAATGAATCTCAGAATTTGATCCAGAAAAAAAGAAGAGAGAAAGAAAAGAAAAGAAGAGAAAAGAAGAAAACTAAAGGATTTAAGGACTTAAGATCTAAAAAAACATTTAAGAAAGGGAAAAATAAAGTGCAAAACCAATATGATGATTGTAAACAAAGGGGAAAAGAAATACGACAGAGAAGGGAAGCCGGTAAGGCAGAGGCTAGAAGAAGGGGGGGTAGAAAGGTTTGTTGGGAAAAGAAAGAAAGGGAAAAGGTGGAGAAAAGCTACAACGTTTTGAAATTAAATGGAAAAAAGGAATTTTTTATGGATAATGGATAAAGTATAATTTTTTTTAAAAAAAAAAAGATTTTGCAAGGTACATAAGATGAGATGGTAGTATTGCAATGGTTTAAGAGTTGATAAGAGATTAAAATGTTAAAATGTTTAAAAATGATTGGTTTTAAAACTTAATAATAGGAGGGGTTTAGAATATTGTTTTAATTAAAGAGTTTAATAAAATTATGGTATTGATGTTATTATAAAATTTTTATTATAGTATTTCTTTTTAATATTTGGATTTATTCTCTAATTATGCACTTAATTGTGTTGGATGTATTAGTTAGATAGAATGTACCAAGCAAAATCTGATTGGGTATTAGATATTATTTTAAAGATTAATTTGATTAACTTAGGGGGGAGATAGAAAGGCATCATACTCTGATTAATGATTTCAGGAGAAACTGATTTTCTTTTTTTTCATAAGGGATGAGACAAAGGGATGATAAAAAATGGACAAAAGATACAAATATAATGATTTAAACTAAGATGATTAATTAAGGTAGAATTAAGAAGTGTGAAATATGTGGAGAAGTTAATATAGAAGGCTTAGAATGGTAAATAAAATAAGTAATGATATGTAAGATGAGCATGAATATAATTGAAGTCCATGAAGAGAGAGACACCTGGGTCCAAGTTACTTTCCAAAAAGATATTTTTTTTATGTTTTGTGTGTTGTGTGTATATGTCTTTTTTGGGGGGAGAATTGGTAAAAACTTGTAGAAATATAGAATGAGAATAATGGTAACTAAGTCAGAAAGAAACAGATGAAATAATAATAATGATATTGAATAAGAGTAAAGAGAAGTAAAGAGAAATTGAATAAGAGGTTTTGGTATATTATATGGAAATGGTTTAAAACAGAATCATAATTTATCTGACTTGTTAAATTTACAAGGGAAAAAGGTTTAAACATGTAATGAATAATGATAATTTGTGTGTTTTAAAAATTAATAAAACTTGTCTTAAAAAAAAAAAAAGAAAATCTATTTAAGGTACCTGGAACCTGAATTTTAAAGACTAATACTATTCCTAAAAAAGATTTTAAGCTGCGAAAGAGAAAGGGAAAGGAAACGGAATTGGCTTTTTTTTCTCTAACATTGACAGTTTTAACTTACTTGGAACATTAAGAAGAGATTCGAATAAGAAATTGATACTAATCCACTTTGACATTAATAGGCTATTTCTAGCTGAAAATAAAGTGTCAAAGGGATAAAGATTCTTGGATAATTTAAAAACTTTCTTTAAAAAAAGAAAGCAAGCAGCGGAGGGAAAAAGGAAAAAAGAGGGTGGAATCTGGAAAATGGAGGAGACTACCTGGAACTTAAAAAAAAAATGATAGTGGAATTTTAACAAGGCTTGCAAAAGATACATTGTAGTTGAAACTTTGTTACAAGATAACAAAGCCCCTGGAAAGAGAAAGTGAGAAAAGAAGCAAGAAACAGTTTTGGATTATTGGATGATTCCTGGAACTTTGGATGGAGGATCCTAATGAAATAAAATAAAATCAATTGGGTGTTGTTTAAACTTTTTTAAAATGGCATCACTCCTTGAAGAGTTAAAAATGAGACTTAACAAAAACAAAAAGAAGAAGCACAAGATGGAAGAGGATCTTTTGGCTTCGTATTTCAATTTTTAGAAATGGAGATCTTGAACTATGAAAAACAACAAGAAACGTTTGAAGAACAAGAAGGGCGGGACAACGAAGAAGCCATCTTTAATGACCAAACAATTTTAAGCGGGGTAAAAAAGGGAAAGGGGGGGAAAGGGAGTTAAAAGCACTGAAGCAACAAAAAAAAGAGTAATTTGAAAAGTAATTTGAAAAATAATATCAGGAAGAAGCAGAAGGGAGGATCGCAGAAGGGAGAATCAGATAGAAAAGGGAATAAAAAGGGGAGGGAGAAGAAGAGAGTGAAGAGGGAAAGGAAAAGAAGCTACAAAGGACAGAAACAAGATATAGAGGTACAGCAAAAGCGCACAAGAATTAAAGGTATAAACCTATTTAAAAGACACAGAGACAATGGTTAAACTTTAACTTAAGGAGAGGATTCTGCAAGGGTGCATGCAATGGATAGCATTGTTATATTAGAAATAGAAAAGGGTTAGAAAATATGTTAGATGATTGAAGTGATAGAAAAAATTTCTATTGATATGTAGTGGAATATTTGTTTGTAAAGAGAATAAGGCTCTCAATGATTTAAAAAGAACGTTTAAAAAAAACTGAAAAGAAACATGGAAGATTTTTATCAGTTGACAAGATGAACTTGAATAAGAATAATAACTTTATTGACTACTGTTAAAAACTATTGTTTGGTTTTTTATTTAAAGACAGTAATAAGTAAAATATGAAATATAGATGATTAAAGTGAAAGACAACTGATATTACTAGGTAATGTTTGTTAAAAGAAATAGAAATGCAAAAGATTGTTATTAATATTAATGGAAGAGCTGTACTTGAATAGAATAATTATTCCATTTACTAGTGTTATACATATAAACACAGATATATATACATATATACTTTTTTCTTTTAAGAATTTAGTGTGTATGTTTAAGGGAATGCACCAAGCAGAATTCGATTGAAAATAGGTATGTGTTATAAAATAGAGGTTAGAAAATGAATGTTATAACTGTAAAGGTGTAACTTATATTTTTAAATAAGATTTGAAAAAAGATTCAAAGGTGTTATACTCCAGTCTAGTAATTACAGGGGAAAATTTGTTTTATGTGAAAACATAATATGAATTTCTAAACAGGACAGACGAAAGTATAAAAACATTGATTAGAAAGATTTTAAAAATTAGAAAAAGATATGTAATTGAATTAAGAAAAAAATGAGATAATTTAAAATAAGGCTATAGGAAGTAAAGTAAGGGAAAAGCTATTGAAAAAATTGTGAAAATAGTTATAAGATATGGACTAGAATGTATAAGATAAATATGTATTGAGTTTATGTCTGTATGGAGAAGTGATAACCCAGGGCCACGCTGTTCTCAAAAAAATAGATTTTATTTGTATTTGTATGTTTTGTGAAAACTTAAATAAAAATTTTATTAAAAAAACAACAACTTCCCAGGAACTTTTTCTTAACATTCTTATATAGGGATGCTTTATTCATATTTAATGTTTAAATGTATGTGTCAGCTTTGGAAGCCATATTAGTATCAGAAGCTTCCACGCCGCCACATTCCTGTATCTGGAAAAGTAGGAGGGGAGGATTTTTGGTGTATTAATAGTTAAACATAATAGCATTCTTCTTTTCAGTCAAGGTCGTGTTCAGAGGTGGTATTCAGCAGGCTCTGACCAGTTCTGGAGAACCGGTAGCGGAAATTTTGAGTAGTTCAGAGAACCGGCAAATACCACCTCTGACTGGAGATTTTACAGTATCCTTCCACTGCCATGTCTACCAAGCCATGCCCACAGAACCGGTAGTAAAAAAAAAAAGAATCCTACCACTGGTCATGTTATTCCTACACTTGGAGTATGAGTGGTTGAAGGGATGTCTCAAGTTGAGACGGTTGGTGATTGGACCATGTGATGGACTGATGGGTGCAGGGGTTGGGTTTTGACTTTTGAATTACTAAGGGAAAACCCGGAACTCTCAGATTCGGGTTTTTTCAGATGTGCCAGTATAAGTACTCTAATAAAAGGAAACTTTGAGAAAATGACTGTCTCTGAGTTTTTAATTGGAGTTGTTTTTTTCTGGAACTCTGACATTATGCAGTTTTAGATTTTCAATTTAAGGCAAATTGGAATTAATAGGTACTAAAAAATCTCACACTGTGATACAAGCAGGACAGAATTTCAATTCTGTGCCTATTTTTAAGGTTCTTTTTCAGTTAATTCAACTGGATTCCTACATACATTGCAAGCAATATTTTTTTAAAAGTCATATTTAATTACAAAAGCTGACAATGGTTCTGTTAGAGTAAAAAGTATGAGAATATCTTTGCCAGAAAAAGAATCTGTATTGAAACCTCAACATTTCTTACCACTCTGCAACCTTCTTTTGTCTGAGAAGATCCCAAGATTGTGGGCCAAGGACTGTGCCAATGTAACAGCCATTAAATCTGGCTTTCCAAACTGAAAAATAAGACAATGTCTTTGAAGCACTTCCATTTTAGAAATTTTAAATTAGCAAAAAATGTTGAACCTGTAGGAAATCCTAGAGCATTTATTCCCCAAAGTATGCTTTGAAATGCAGTTGAGTTATAAACTAGCAGAAATTTGCAGAGCACTGTTTAAAACAATAACAACTAAGACAAATGAAATATTAAGGCTAAGTATAATTTGGCTCAGAGCCAAACATATTCATTATGTTGTATAAGCTTCCTTTTAAATGCCATGTATGCTTGTAATAACCTCTTTGGGTTAGGTGGTTTAATTTTAACTCTGTGACTGAGTTAACTATAACTGAGGGGACTATAACTCTTTGTCACTCTTTATTCTGATTATTTATTATATTTATTTGATTATGAGGGCTCTCAATTCTTAGGAACTCTGAATAGCTTACAATTTAAAAATAAAAGGAAAAAATATGAAAAAGCCAGCTAGAAGGATCTAGGACAACTTACCATGGCCAACTCAAAACAGCCAACTCGCCACAGCGCAATGTGCCATGTGACATTTCAATGGTGTATTTTTTTTCCATTCAGTTACTTTTTTATTGGTGATCACGTTTTCATCGAAATTATTGTTAACACTTGAATTTCTGGATTGACTTTATTTTTTTACTATTGGGTATAGCTCCATCAAAATTAATTTAACTTCTGTATTTGTTGAATTGTCCTATGGTGAGCTGTCCCGCAGCATGTTGGTTCTGGCAAGTTCTCTATTCCAATCTAGAAGGCTAATTAAACCTCCATATACCTACTATTTGGGTGGAATAAGAAGCTTTAACAAAAAGCAATGGAAACAGCAGGAGTAAAGTTGTCTCTACCCAGTAAAATAAAATAAATTGAATCAAACTAAAAAAATAACATAAAATTCTATCCAGGCTCATTTTAATAGGCAAATGTTTAAGCCTTTTATCCTCAGTCAGTTGGCTAATAAAATGTACACATTTCTGCAAATGGAAGTAAAAAATAATTTTCCCTCAAAAATACATTTTAAAATATTATGCTGTCGGGTTGCATATTCTATGAAATGTTTCAGATTACAGATGAGCAGTTGATATTTCCCCTATTTATGGAATCCCAAATGCTTAAAGGAGAGACCTGGCCACTAGCTGCTTTTCTTTGGACATGACAGAAAACAGGAACTTAACGGAAATCTCTTAACATGGACAACAAAACATTGTATGAAGAAAAGCAGAAATAGAAATAATTTGACAATTATGGGATTATCATTTTGTGTTTGTAGAATAATGCCAACATACTTCATTTACACCACCACCTTTCAGCAGTGAACAAATGCCACCAATAAAGGCTGCCCCGCTACGGCTACTGAGAAACTGGCTCCCCCTTTTAAAACAAAACAGAAAAAGCAATATAGTTAATAAAATCCATAGCATTTGGGGAACTACAATACATTTTCAACCAAAAAGATGTAAGGGTATTTATGATAGAAGAAATATAACTAGAAAAGAAGCAATGCTTCAGTGTGGATGGCAAGATTCAGCAATTTAATACTCCTCCACCCAAAAACTCCTAAACATTGAGTTACTCGGGTGTGTGTATGTGTGCAAGAAATAATGTTTATTTTGTAAACTGCGCCAAAATAATGCTTGCTGTATAGAATTTTACAGTTCCATTAGAATGATCTGCACAAATTGAATCAGATATTTGAAAATGGGAGGGGGGAACCAAAGCCACTTCAAAGACAGTATATCTTCTCTTAATTTAAAAACTAACAATTGAAAAACCCAGTTATCATTTGTAAAGTAAAAAGTAAGAATATTGTAGTCCTAACAATGTTACCCCGGGCCAAAATATTTCAGGATCTAATTAGGCTGCAAATTTCTGGAACTTCCATTTCAGAATTCCAGACTAGTAACAATAACACTTAGACTTATATAGCACTTTTTAGTGATTTACAGCTCTCTCTAAGCAGTTTACAGAGTCAGCCTATTGCACCCAACAATCTGGGTCCTCATTTTACCGACCTCAGAAGGATGGAAAGCTGAGTCAACCTTGATCATAATGCCTGGGCACTGCAGTCCCCACACATCTTGGTGGCTCTAGATGATAGCGAAGACTGATTTTCATAAAGTTTCTTACTTTACCATATCACTTTTGCATTCTGTAGTATTTAAGGTGAATACTACTGGAGACAATATTCTGTTTAAACTGGGGGAAGAGGTAACTGGAGCTCCTAAAATTCCATTTTTCATGATCTTCCAAGCCCACTCTTTCAGTGAAATGTCAACATGAGCAACATAGTTTCCTGTCATGTTCAGACATGACATTATCAAAGTATAGCACAAGCCTTAAAATATAGTTTTAAGGGGGGGAAACCTACTACACAAAAAATAAGAAAAATGGAAAATGCTAAAAACAGCCCTTTGCAAATGATACAATCCTATCCGCCTTGCATTTGGTTTTCCAACCAACACAATGTACTTAGTTTAAGCATATTTAAAACAAGAATGACATTCAAATGTTTGGAACTTGTGAGAAGAACAGAAATGTTTCAATTCCCCCTCTCTTTAGCTCTTTATAATAACTTTCTCAATACATTTGTATACAAATTATTGATTGATACTAAAAATATCAGTAAAATGAAATACAACTTTATAGCTCCTCCAAACACTGCTATCAGAATCAAGGTAGAAATTAAGTACTGTACATGAAATAAAATCACACATAAATAAGTTTCATTAAATTTAATATTAATTAAACTGAAATTGAAATTGCAACTATTTTAACTTTCTTTCTGATTATCCATGTTTGTCCCTGTGCCACTCACTTTTTGAATTTTTGTGTGCCACACCTCACTCAAAGGTCAAGTGGAGGTTTCCAGTTTAGCAATATGGAAACCATAGATCATCACATCCCTTTGGTCATTTCAGTATCATGACAAGAGGGAAAAATTGATATATATATATATATATTTGTATTCATTTTCAACTCAGTATGGATGCTCATTATATCTAAACAACATGTAGTTCACCTTAACAATGCCATGGGGAAATAGTCAACTTCATTTTTTTTTCTTAAGCCACACTCAGTTCAATATCAAAATAAAGCATGTTTAAATAAAAGCATTTGATGTCCTTGTGGTCATGACAAAGGAATTAGATAACACTAAGACATACAACCATTTCTATGTCTCAAATTACACTATCAATAGTTTCCTTCATCCCCAATAATAACCAAACAATACAAAATTACGTACGAAAAAAGATGAACTGCATCACTTTTCTCTTTGATAAAATCTCTCCTATATTTCATAAATTCACGTAGAGTTACCAGTGGGTTTTCAGATATGGTGAACTTGTTATCAGTACCCCAGGTTTCCATGGCAACCAAGACTATTCTGGTGTTCAGTTGTTCTTTATAAATCTAGCACATTAGGAAAATGAATGATCACAAAATAATAGTGTCAATATTGCTTTGTTAAAAACATGCAGTATACAAAAAGTGACTAAAGAAAAATCCAATGTAGAGAATACTTACATTAATCACAGTCACAGACTGCCTAATACAGAGGTGTCCAATCCATGGCCTGGAGGCTACATATCACCCTGGACAGTTAGTAATGAAGCCCCACAAGATTGAAAACTTTTTAAACATTATTATGTAATTTATATTCATAACTAATTATATAGTTTGTATGTGGCCCAAGACAATTCCTCTTCACTCAATGCGGCTCAAGCACCCCAAAAGTTTAGACAACCATGGTTTAACATATTAACTTTATTGTGAAAAGGCTAAGCTGTTTTAGAGTTATTCTTTTGAAAGGTGGAGCTTTGATAGAATGCCAGGTGAAACATAAACAGAACCAAAACTGCGGCAATTTTCTACTTGTCATTCTGCTTCTGTTTTTCATTCATATGCTGTATAAGAATCAAACTAGATAGAATTGTTTTTCATTCAGAATCAAATTAGTAATAATTGTTAGGAATGATAGTCACCTAACAGTTGGGTTAACACTTCTTTGTCCCCTTTGATCTTAAATTGTCATTCCTGTATTAACACTGCATGCTTTATATATACACAAACTCACACACACGATTCTATGACATAGAGCAGGGGTGGGCAAACTACGGCCCGTGGGCCACATCCGGCCCGTTGGTCTTTTTAATCCGGCCCGCCGAAGATTGGTACAGAATGTGCCAATGATGTGAATGATTTGATGTGAATGATTGAATGATTGCATTCATTTGATTTTGACTTGTAATGACAGGCATTTCGACACCAGGTGGTGGCCCGTCTGTCAAATTTTAAAAGTCAATGAGGCCCCTGAGCCAAAAAGTTTGCCCACCTCTGACATAGAGTGAGTAGTGAGACAGTAGTTTCTAAATTAGATAGATGATAGACAGTCAGACAGACAGACAGACTGATAAAGATACACACAGAAATAGCATAGATAGATAGATAGATAGATAGATAGATAGATAGATAGATAGATAGATAGATTAGATAGATAGACAGAGCTTGATAATTATACTTACTAAATCTGCCATATTCACTACCGATTTTGCAAAGCTGTTTGTGTGACCAACTGATAACCGGTGTTTTTTCAGCTAAGAAAAAAGCAGACAAATTCCAAATATCTTTCTGAAACATCATGTCATTTCAAGAATAACTTCAGTTAAAGAGTAGTTTTTACTATGACTTCAGATATGTGGATTTACAGGTTATTTATTCAAGTATAAATATTTTTTTAATCAACATAGCACCATAAAAATTAAAAATACTGAAAGACAATAAAGGACTTTTTTGTTTGGTCAGCTGCCAGTAGCACAAATTGGTAATCTAATATCGGTATACTGTGGGTCAGCTTTTATACACATAGAATGAGAGAAGTACCTTCAAGATAATGCAAATGTGCATAACAACAGCACTTTAAAAAATACGAATTAGAAGTAATACCTTTATTACAATCAACCTCATAACCTCAATGTACAAGGATTCAAGCTCTTCTTATGTATGTAACTTGGCATACATCAAACTTAAATTTCTGGTAATGAATATGCTAATGTATAGAGTTAATTTATTCTGGTATCAAAACTGCACTGCTTTTGTCCCTACAGATTTTTCACCTTTAATTTTTCTTAACAATTATCTATCACAGTAGAAAGCCGCAATAAATTAAAAAGTAGAATAATATGTGCTATCAGTAGCATGTTTAATGTGTGTGGGATATGAACAGGCTAAACTAACGTTCTCTTAAAGTTTAAAAAGTTAGACCATCAGATTGAATTTGGCTATAAAAGTTGCATGGGGTCTGAAAAAGTATTTTTTCAGTATTCTTCCATTTTCCAAGTTGAGAAAAACATATTAGGCATCAATGATACTATCATAGTTATATCTATATATTCTATATCATATTATTAATTACTGAAAGAAAAGGTGAAAGGAACATGAGAATAATATTGTAATGCAACCACAAATTATAAAATACAGTAGAATAAAGAAAACATACAATTGGATAATAAGACACTTGGCTTTTGTAATATTTTGCATTGTTAATGCTTTTTATAGCATTTTATTTTCCATGAGGATTAGACCTTAGGTAGCCAAAAGAGCACTATTAACTTGAGTCATTGCCCTTTGTACAAACACATTGCATCCTCTAGTCTTTTGTACCTGTGATCCAAAACCTAACACAAGATTAACTTAAACAAATATTTAAGTCACAGACTTATGTCACAGTGTTATAAACCATGGTTCACCAATCACACACCCACACCCACAAAACACACGCATACACTCAGTGGTGGGATTCAAATAATTTAACAACTGGTTCTCTGCTCTAATGACTGGGTGGGTGGGCGTGGCCATGGTGGGTGTGACCAAGGGGTTGACAGGTACTTGGCCTCCTGCACTCCTCTGGAAGCAAAAATGGGCTGCGGGGGGGGGGCACCCCCACACCCAATTTTGAGCCTAGTAGGCCTTCCTGCTGCCTTCTGGGAGAAAAAAATGGGGCCCGCGGGGAGTCCTGGAAGGGGAGGGGAGGGGCCAGCCAGCAATTTAACAACCAGTTCGGCCAAAGTGGTTGAATCCCACTTCTGCATACACCACTAGATCTTAATCACTATATCAAATTGTCTCTAAATTATCCTTTGGAAGGGCCTCTTTCAGCTATGGGGTCTGGGCTATTGTTGCTTGTTCTATCTTTTAAAAGGACCCTGATTAGTATTCAAGAAGGAAATTTGACAAACTTAAATTAACCCAACAATAGTTTAAAAGAAAGCATTTGTTAAAGGATCTTCGGTCTTCCAAAGAGGCATAGTTACTCAGTAGAATGGTGACAAAAAATGGAAAACTGGGGAGGAGGAATAAACCAGAATTTAGCAACACTAGTCACAATTCAGTTCCTCCTCCTCTTCCTTCTTTTCCTCCTCCTCCTCCTCCTCCTCCTCCCTCTTCTCCTTCTCCTCCTCCCCTCTCTACATCAAACTATAGATTGCAAAAATGAAGCCAGCTTTTTGGCTTTGTCATTGGCCAAAAATAAGTAATTATTGGTATCTGTTTCTGATAGTAGCCAACATATGTGTTGTTATCTGCTAAGAACCTCCACTTCAGAATATTGGTTTTACACTTAGCAGCCCCAACTCTAGACCTACTCAGGATTCTCCAAGTAGTATAAGGATCCAGTTTATTATCAAATGCACATATGTAAGATACTACTATAAGTTACTTTATTTTCCATGTGCTTTGAGGGTTATAGTGAGCGTTTACAGCAAAATTCACTACTTTGCATATACACTTCTTAATGGCTGTTAAAACCTGCTCTGCTTATTCATATTTCAGTATAAATAGCTATACTGAAGATTCAGAACTAAAATTAGAATTAAATTCATCTTTTCACAATAATGACTAAAATCATTTTCACAGATACATACACCTTTCTCTGCTTGGCAATCGCAAGTATCTAGCTGTATACACATAAGGACAATCAAAAAGTCTCATGTGACACCCAATAAAATATGGCTACTTTCTTTCCTACTCCTTGAAGAAACAAGAAAATAATCAATAATCTCTTCTTCTACTAAAAGGCACCTGATATAATGGTTTAAATGAAATTCCCCTCCCCCTTTTATTTAGAGCCTAAATGAGGAATTATGATTCCACAGTAATGGAAATTCCATTTTTAAAAAATCTGGAACTGGGGAGTGAGGGGAGAAATACTTTCTGACTTATAAAAAGATGCATCTAAGAACAACCAATAAGTGAAAATGTGTATTATAGGGGGTTGGTTTACAATGTTTATGTTAATTTCAATTGATCTACTGATAATCCATGAAATACAAGTTTGCCTATATCTGTTTTATTTATGCTGTTTCCTGAATTAACTTGGGAATATCTAAATATTTTTTCTTTGACAGAATCCATAATACTAAGTCATGACTTTTTGAACCATGGTTTATTAAAGCTATCTTATGCTTGTATGCAGTATAAGAAAAAATAATAATGTATACATAGGCCAAACATACAGGGAACCCTTACAAAGAAATATAAAGTTTGATTAAACAAGCCAACTTATACATTCATTGCATGACAGAATAGAGGGCATGATCCATTCCACTTCAGCCTATCACATGACATACTGTATCTTTGTTCAAGCACCCGTAATTCCAACAGAATGCCTACAGAGAGATTTGCTGACTTAATATTGCTCAAAGTCATTCTTGCTCCTGAAATAAATATATTGGCATTAGATTCGATTCACTAAAAAATTCTCCAATCACCAGCAGTTTTAAGAAAAATCGATGCCCAATTTTGCCTAAAACATATCTAAGTCAGTTTTGCAAGTCACAATGTAATGTATATATTTCAGATTTTTTTTTTAATAGCTAAGCTCCCTGATGCTCCAGACTAATTTTTTAAGGAAGTGGTATGCCATAAAATGAAGTACCACATTTTAACATAATCTGCTTTTCCATGAATGCTTCTGTCCTCACATAAACCTCCCAGACATCTTTAGATTTTGATAATTGTTGCCTAATGTTTTGTATAAATATGATCCCATGACCAGAAAAAAAAAAAAGCTAAAGGCAGCATCATAGGACCATGCAGAGCAGCATTCGAATAAACAGATGTTTGAGATCTAGTTACATTTATTATGGAATACAGTTTGTGAACAAGCAAATATCTTCCAATTAGAAGTGTTTATAAAGGGACCTCTACATGTTTGTAAAATTCCAATTTACTGACCAAAATATTTGGTGTAGATACTGTACACCAGTAAATACTGTAGGGAGAATATAATCACAAAGGGAGAAAGATATTTCCAATCTCCAGTGTGATGCAATAAATATACAGAGAGTCCTCAATACAAAGCTATCCAACTTTTACCTCCAGAAAAAAGGTAGTCCAACCATTCAATAGTTAATATAAACAGCTCTTAAAATATGCGAATGAATTACAAAGCTAAATGTGGTCTTCAGGAAAATAATTGAGAGGAAAAAGTTACATTCTGTAAAAAGAAAAGCCAAGGTCTGTTGTAATTACCAATCTTTTCTTTGCTCTTAGATGTCCAGTTGAGTGACTTCCAGCACAGTTCCAGACAGCCCGACTTCAGTGGAATGATTAGAATCATTTTGCAATAGGTACATTATTGTTGAATCTATTATAAACACAAAGCTATGCATGCATTATTGATAACTTTTAAAAAGCCTTGTATGTAAAACCTCACCATTAGATGATCATTTACAATCATTAGCTCAACATATTTCGTTTCATCTTCAACTCTAGGTAGACTCAGCTGGACCTACAGAAAGAGGAAGATGCTGTATTTATTTAAAAAGGTCAGCAACAAATACCTGATTCTAATTATTCTGAGCTGATTTCTTTCCTTCATTGCACTTAAAATTAATTAATGATACCAACTTAGAAAAAGAATATGCCAGAATTTCTAACATTTGAATAACAGAAAATTAAGCAATCTGGTTCTAATGCAAGCGTAGATGAAATATAACAGACAATTTTACATAGCTATATTGACCACTACTGGACTTAAATGGGCAGCATATAGGTTTAATAAATAAATAAATTTAATAAGCAATTTTCAAAATATGGTTTGATAAGATTCTATCCTTTTAAAGGAACTCCTATAGCCTTTAGCTTCATTAATGAATTCCTCTATGTATTAAATAACTGCAAAGCCATATATTTTATTAATGGCTGATATTTATATTTGTGTTTTTCACACTTTCAAAAATATACATTACAACATACCTATTCTGTGTGGTATTATTTTTTCACAGGTTTTATATACTTACTCAATAATCCCCAGAAGATTACCCCCATATGCAGGGCACGGGGATATCTAAAAATATTCTAGTCTTGGTTCAATGTTTAGGCAAATAGTATTAATTGATACTCATTTGCTTTCCTATTTCTTTTTTAAAATGCAAATGTTCAAAATATCATAAAACAGTCAACCTTGAAATTGCTCTGTTCTTGACACTTTGGACATTTTTCTTTTTTAATAAGCATTTGGCTTTTTTATCTTCTTAATATATATTATTTCTTTATAATATTGTTCCTGCAATATTAGATGAAATTGTATGGTGAGACCCATTCCCTGAACAGATTGTAGACTCACAGCTTAGTCAGATGCAAGTCATTGATATCACTCATCAAAATGAAGATAAAATGCCTGATGTTGAAGAGATGTGATCAGTACATCCACTAAGAGAAAATTCTAAATAGCAAAGATTCAATTTGATTGCCTTGAATAGTCATGCTTTAGAAAATCATTTTTCTGTTGGTTTGTAACAAGCAAAATGGAACAGGCCGTTTGCCTTTCTCCCAGCCTCTGATGAGACTATTCTCTTTGGACTGGTATATATTATCAAAGTACACCACTAGATGTTCTCAGCATGAAAAGGGGGACTTATAATGGAGATATGAGAAAGCAGGCAAAATCATGTATTACTGGAAAAAGGAAGCCTAATTTTTTTTAAAGATTGCAAAAAAGAAACAACAGGCTAAGAGGGCATACCTGCCTTTTTCTTCTTTTATATCTTGATTTCACACCAAATTTCTGTGATGTAGTATTCATGTGCCAGAATTCTGAATGGAACACACATTACAATCAGTTTAATGACAGTTAAGCAAGACAAGCACTTTTCAGCAGCAAGATGAACAAAGCTCAAGGTTGAATAAATGCCTATTTTAAATATTTTAAGAATTACTCAGAACTCAAGAAAATACACAGGGATAGTTATATTATCTATTGCCACAAAAACAAGCTATTGGAAATTCATCAGTGCAAGGGTTGGCATTTTTACCAAAAAAACCTGCTTTGTAGTTGCTCACTCTTAACAAGTTCATGAATTTGACCAGTGGGTTATAGAGTGCTGAAAGCTGAAGCAAAATAGTTTTTAAAGTACATTGAAACACTTCATATTAAAGGAAACATCTGGAAAAGGAAAGAAACATAAAGGAAACAAAAACCCTCAGAACAGTTTCTTGCATAATGTATTCTTGGACTCAGATATTAGGCCTGGAAAGGCAAGGTATTTTTTCATTTAACAAATGAGATAGTCTTTTTACATATAAACTTCTTGACCTGAACTGCAATAAAATAATCTTAGGATGAGTAGAAGCCACAAAGGATATTAAATAAAGAAGTTACGAAAATCCAAGCTAAAATGTAATCATCAGGTGTTTATAAGCCAATGAAAATGCTGTTTAATAAGTGCATGATCTATATATTGGTGATGTCAAATCACACTGTAAAGCATGACAAACTATATGAAGCCATAACATTAATCAAACCTTGACATTAACCTTGTTCAGGCATTTAGAAATCAATAACAGGAAATTCATCTTTGGTGAGAATACCAATTTTGCTACCTCTACATGCATGCACACATGTCACATATCCTCTATATGTAGGCTGAAGGCTCTCAATGCAATTTAGGATCCCGATTTCCAAGGGTTCTAACTTTCATGGAGAGCCTACCAAAGCGAAGAATGGTTCCAGTTTTCCCATGCTCTATTTTAAAGCTGAAGAAAGACTTTCTTACTACAAATCAGTTTTGTGGAGTAAAAAAAAGTCTTCATAAATTGAAAGTTCTGTTAGAATCTATTAAAATCTTACGGAAGTAAAATATTCTCTTGAAATGTTCAGCATTTAGACAGGAAGTGATTTTTAACAGGTTAATTTTTATTTAAGACAGGTCAGTCTCTTTTGACCTATAAAGACTCTTCTTTAGAAAGCCAACCATTGAATAACTATTGCAGTATGAAAAGTCTACAAATATTTTTTGGAAAATTTGTTTTTTCTTTTTTTCTAATCCTGTGTTCAGAGAGGCTTTTATATTATTAATAACAACAGGATAAAAACAACCAGCAATGATTTAACTATGAATTAAATGCAACAATAAGAGTATTAAAAATATACCAGATGGAAGATAATCCAAAGGAAATTCAAATAAACTGGATTTGTATACAGAGTGTAAATGGAATTCCTCCTAAAATAAAAGACATCTAAATTTAGTAAATCATTCTAAGGCTGATACTTAAGCTAGAACTATACATTTTTATACCCAGGAAATTGCAGATCATAGTATTCTGAGTATATGCACATAGACACATGTAAGCATCAATTCACATACACACACTTGCATACTTATATACATATATGCAAAAATATACATTAAAGAATATTTTTCTAAACTTTTTTTTTATTTCTGAATTCTTACAGCTAGAATCTAGGTAAGAAGTGCAAGTCATATATTAACTATTAAAGAACAATCTGAGGATAATTGTATTTTAATTCTACAGTACTTACTTGAGATGTACAATTTTCTTCTGGCTCAATAAGATATGTGTGATTCCCATCATAGAACATTCCACTGTTAAAAAAAAGGCAGCTATCTGACTTGCGTGTTATAATTTAACTAAGTACATAAAATAATGCTACATGTAAAAAAGAATCTCATGTAGAAATGGGCTATTATTGCCCTGTAATTTTTAATCCTTCAACTAGCTTGGGAAGCTAATTTTAGTTGTTTCCTGAGATAAATCCTGAGGAATTTCCTATCTTCTCCTCTTATGTATAGCGCAACTATTTACTACCTTCCATGCTATTATATAATACAACCATTGTAGATTTCTTTGCATTACAGAAAAGATCCTATCAAACTATTATTGACCATAGTAATTTTGAATTTTAGTTCTTTATACTGGCAGTGCCTATGATTTGCCACCAGCGGGCAGTAAAAACTGCAAGCTGGTAAAAATGTCTTATAGTATTTATTTTAGGATAATTAGGATCTTGTTTTAAATACATGCTTATTAACTACAACAATTTCAAGAAACGTTTCTTTGTAACTTTCTGTAGTTCGCAAGTCTGTGAACCTATTGAAGTCAATATCTATTGCAAATCTACAAAATATGATGCCAATAATTTGGGAATTAATTTTTAGCAGTGTATTCAAATGAGATCATATGTTTCACATATCAACAACATACTTTCTCTATATTATCCTTGTACAGAAGGACAGTATACAGAAATTATATTGTCACACACTAGAGATTGTATTTCAGAATTCTAGCGCTAGACCTTTGATTCTAAAGGATTTGCCTAGAATACAGAGTGCCATTTTTACAATAATAATAGCATATCTTTTAATTCAAATATGTACACAGTGCTATCAAATTGCAGTTATTCCACATGTGGTAACAATGGTTACTAAATCCACTGTAGTTAAATTTGGGGATGATATTTACCCACTGAGGATAAAAATCTGTTAATGGAGCCAATTATTTTAGAGGAGGGTTAAGCTCTCCCAAACTGGCTCTGTTCAAGTAGAGACCAGCTTGCAATTTGCAAGAGATATTCTGGACCTGGAATTCCTATATTTGCAATGTAATCAGAATAGAGCTGGAAGGGACCTTGGAGGTCTTCTAGTCCAACCCCTGCTCAAGCAGCAGATACTATACAATTTGAGACAAGTCATTTCTTAAAAACCTCCAGTGATAAAAGCAAAGTGTTCCATTGGTTAATTGTTCTAACTGTTAGGAAGTTTCTCCTTAATTTTAGGTTGTTTCTCTCCTTGATTAGATTCCATCCATTGTTTCTTGTCCTGCCCTCTTGTGCTTTGGAGAATAATTTGACTCCCTCTTCTGTGTGGCAGCCCCTCAAATATTGGAATGCTGCTATCATGTCATCCTTGGTCCTTCTTTTCTCTAGATTAGCCACATCCAGTTTCTGCAACCGTTCTTCATATGTTTTAGTCTCCAGGCCTTTAATCATCCTAGTTGCTCTTCTCACACTCTTTCCAAAGTCTCAACATTGTTTTTGTACTGTGGTATCCAAAACTAGATGCAGTATTCCAGGTGTGATCTTACTAAGGTTTCATAAAGCGGTACTAATATTTCACGTGATTTTAACACTATGCCTCTGTTTATACAATCAAGGATTATATTAGCTTTTTTTGGCTGCTGCCACACATTGCTGGCTCTTATTTAAATGATTATCCACTAGCACTCCAAGTCCCTCTCCCAGTTACTGTTTTTGAGCCAGGTTTCGCCTAATCTATACTCATACATTTGGTTTTTCCTGCCTAAGTGTAAACTAGCTTTTCTCCACATTAAATTTCATTCTGTTGGATAGGGCCCATTGTTCAAATCTGTCAAGATCTTTTTGGATCCTGAACTTGTCTTCTGGTGTTGGCTATTCCTGCTAGTTTAGTGTCATCTGTAAATTTGATGAGTTCCCCTTCTATTTTCTCATTTAAGTCATTTATGAAGATTTTGAAGATTACTGGGCCTAAGACAGAACCTTTTAGTACACCACTGCTTACTTCCCTACATGTATATTTAGTACCATTAACTGTACTCCTTGAGTACAGTTTGTCAGCCAGTTACAAATCCACATCTGGTAGTGATGTTGTCTATCCCACATTTTTCTAGTTTACTAAAAGTAGGTCTACTTTGTCAAATGCCCTACTGAAATCTAAGTATACTATGTCCAGAGCATTTTGCTGGTCTATTAATTTAGTCACTTTGTCAAAGAATGAAATAAGATTGGTTTGGCATGATCTGTTTTTAAAAACCCATTCTGGCTTGTAGTTATAACTTTATTTTTTTAGATGTTTGCAATCTAATTTTTAATTATCTTTTCCAGTATCTTCTCAAATATTGATATTACACTGATTGGTCTGTAGTTTCTGGGTCTGTTTCCCCTCCCCTTTTGAATATGGAAACTAAATCAGCTCTTTTCCAAACCTCATATAGTTCCCCAGTAGTCCAGGATTTTTGAAAGATGTGGTACAATGGTTCCGAGATAACATCTGCCAACTCCTTCAGAACTCTAGGATGTAATCTGTCAGGTCCCTGTGATTTATATTTGTTGTGCTATGCTTGTGATAGGAGTGAAAAAGAGCAGAATAGTTCTAACTTTTTTCAGTTTTTGTGCTATCTAAACATCAACACCTCTGGGTTTGATAGAGTCCAGAAAGCCAATGTTTCCTGCGTCAAGAATGAGGTTCAGCTCTGTGTTTGGCTATTCAAAGAAGGACAGGCTATAAGTAAAAAAAGAAATTACAGATGGTGCTTGGTTTACAACTGCAATTGGGACTAGAAATGCCATCATTAAATAATGTAATAATAAAACAAGATATCATGTGATCACACAGCTTAATGATGGCAATTCAAGCACAGGTATCCATTGCTAAATGAATCATCATGGGTCATTAAGTGAGGATATCATATGGCAACTTCACAATTCCCTTTGCTTGCTGAAAGCCAGCAAAGGTCATAAATGTTGACCACAGAGACACTGTGACAGCCGTAACTTTGAGAACCAATTGTGCCACTTGTTACACATGGTCACATGTTTGAACAATCACTGAATGAGTGGTCATAAATAGAGAAATACCTATAGAGTTGTGAGGCCAACCTAGAGGTCAACATCTGATCACAAGAAGATGTTCAGATTTGTGAGTACAAGTTCAGTGGAATGACAGAATTAGAACAGGATTCATGAGGCAGTCCCTCTTATAAGTAATTTATTGAATAAGTACTATCACTTTAATCTCACATACAGTTGCTTATATTCCATATATAATGTTAGTCTCATTTCACTGCAGATATTTCTTGAAAAGTTCAATACAAACAAAGAAATTGAATTACACAAATTTTAGATTTAGAAGATCTACACTCTAAAATTTCAGAAACTTAAAAACAGAAAATGAAGGAAAAATATCACTATACTGTATTGTATTATACAGATCAAAAGCCTTTTGAAGAAAGCTGAAAATCAAAATCAAGATGACAATTTAGAAAGTTTATTTATAAAGCACCAATATGTTAGGGGATACAGCACTGCACATAATTGCCTCCCCACCCATGTCCTCTTTTGCATTTACTGTAGATCAATCAGAGGGATGAATCTCTCTTGGCCAAGTATTTTTAATACTGCACATACCGGCAAGCTGATTAAATAATGTATGTTATGCATTAGACTATGGCAGGTTTATATACTGCATTCTCAGTGGAATGGACTAAGGAATAACTAGCTGTTCATCTATTCCCCAGAAACTACAATTTTTATTTAAAAAAATCAGTATCTGTTTGTATAGTCACAATATTTTTTTTCTTTTGAAATCAATGCATATTTTCATCAAGGATCCTTTTAGGAGAATTCTCTTTATTTACTGTTTAATATGAATATATTATTTGTACTACCTAGTTAAACTAATTACTGATCTCTGATCATTGTTAAAAGCTGAGTGTCAGGGCTCCAACAGATCCCCCTCATTCAAAGCAAAAGTCTCTAGCCGCATCTCAGAAAAAGTCGATTTTAATTCCCTCCTTCATTTTTCATGGGAACAGTTATTGGGTATATTTTTCCCTACTTAATCTCAACATTTAATTAATCACATTTATATGAGTGTATTAGATAGACAGGCAGAAATTTTCCAGTTTTCATTATTTTTTAAAAAATTTGCTTTTGTTGTTACATATTTATATTACTTTTTTAAAAAAGATTGTACGTGAATTGTCATTACATACACACATCTATCTATCTATCTATCTATCTATCTCTTTATTTCCTTTCAGAATAACACACTTTATACAAAACATAGACAGGATAAATAATAAACAAAAGAACACAAGTCAGACGATAAACAGAAATGAAGAAGAACTCTAATTAAATTTCTTTTACACCACAGAATTCATTGTCCCAATGGTACTTTTTCAAGAGGCAACTGGACTTTCTGGTTTTTCTTTGAAGACATTTCATATCTCATCCAAGAAGTTTCTTTAGCTCTGACTGGATGGTGGGGAATGGATTTATACTCCTTGCAGACAGCTGGTCATTTGTATTCTTTTAGTGAATTGTTAAGATCACCTGTATGTTTATCTGTGTCATCAGGGTCACCTGATGGTGCAAATGGACATGGAGCCTTTTTGGAACTGTTGAAAGGACTGTATTGTAGACAATAGATAGACGATGTTGTATCTCTTTCCCTCTGTTGAGAGAGAGCTGTTCAATTTTGACATAGATGGCCTCTTTGACTCCTCTTTCAAACCAGCTATCCATTCTGTCCAAAATGTGGCCTTTGCTATCTTCAAAAGAGTGGCATTTGTCTTTTAAATGCAGATGGACTGCTGAATCTAGTCATGATGGGTTTATTCTCCTATGTTGTGCCATGTGTTTATGAAGTGGTTGTTTTGTTTCCCTACTGTACAGATCAGCACATGGCTCACTGCATTGTACTGTATATGCCATGTTGCTAACTTTGTGTCTGGGTGTTTTATCCTTGGGGTGGACACACTTCTTGGCTTCATGTATTCTTAGGTTTGAAGCATGCACATATGTTGGCTGGTTTGAAAGAGGGGCCAA